TCAGTCTAAATCTGTGTCCACTTGCATGTGGCTTTCCTATATGTTGTCTAAATTTCTCAGTGTTTACAGTTTAGGGAGTAAAAAAGATCTGAATCTGTGAAGCCAAGCATTTTGCCCTGTCAAAACATTGCATGAATGGATGAAATAAGGTGTAGTTCTACTCCCAAACATAGACAAGATTCAAATAGTGTATGATAGATCTCACTGAGTGTGTTAAATCATTTAGTTTCATTATTTCAAAGTTAAAATCTAGGGATAAGAATTATATGGTGGTATTTAATGGTTCCAAAGCAAAATGCAACTTTAAAATTGAGAGATAACGCATTCATATCATTATATTTTGAGAAATAGTAGAAATGGAGGTAATTTTACCTAACGTTTTTACTTTTTAGATGAAGACTATCCAAGTTTGCTGCTGGGTGGGCTTTTGTGTCAGTGACCGCTCCAAAGTCAGTACCTGGGTGTGGATTAATATCCATACCTTAGTATGATTAGATTTGCAACCTAGTGTTCCACTGGATCATTTAGAAATAACAACTTTATAATAAATAATTCATGCACCATGAAATTTATCATTTTAATATATTCATTTCAATAGTTTTTTAGCATAGTCATGGAATTGGGTTATTGACCCTACTATGTGATTTTAAAATATTTTATCTTATCCCAGATGAACCTAATACATATTGTCAGTTGCTTCCCATTTTCTTTTCTCAGTTTATGGCAACCACTCTCTGTACTTGGGTTGGCTTCTGCTGGATATTTCTTATGAGCAAGTAATATAATATGTGGCCTTTTGTGTCTGGCTTCATTCACTGAGGATAACATTTTCCTGGTTTGTACATACCATGCCATGAGCTAGTACTGAATTCTTTTTGATTGTTGAGAAATTTCCTATTGTATGGGTATACCACAATTTGATGATATATTTCTTGGTTACCAGACCTTGTATTGATTAATTATACATTACTGTGACGAAATAGCTGAGGCTAGGGCCTGGGGATTTAGCTCAGCAGCACAGCGCCTGTCTGGCAAGCACAAGGTCGTGAGTTCGATTGCTGGTACCAGAAAAAAACCAAAAAACAAAGCTGAGGCTAGGTACTTGGATGAAAGATATGGAGGCTGAAAGCCCAAACAGCATAGCATCATCTCTGGGGGGCCCTGCTAGCTATTTTACCTACTGTGGGTGGTACCACAAAGGTGGGAACACACATGACAGGGAGGGATCACACAGCCAGACAGGAAGCCACAGAGGAATCTAAGAGTGAAGCACAGGCTTTATCCCAACCCTTTCACTGTAACCAGCTTAGGGATCCCACAAGAGCTATATCAGTGCCTTTGAGGGCCACACCCACAGGTGACCTGAGAATCACACTTCAGGCACCAGGTTCCACAACACCACCCAATACCACCCCACAGGGGCCAGGCTTTCAGAGACGCCCCTTTGGGACAAGCCACATCCAGACCATAGAAGACCATAGAAGATACTTTTCACTTTTTGTCCACTTTAATAATTCTACTGTGAAAATCAAGTACAGGTTTTAATTTCTGCCTTCAATACTCCTGGACATATACCTGACATAGGAATTGCTGAGTCATAGGTTAAATCTGTGTTTATATTTTGAGGAAACATGAAGCAAGTTTTCCACAATGGCTTCAGCAGTTTACAGTCCCACCAGCAGTGTAGGGGGGGTTCCAGTCTCATCCATTCTCACCAACATTTCAGTGCTGTCTACCATTTGCATGTTAGCCATTCCAGTGGATATGTACCAGTATCACAAGGTGATTGGTTTTCCTTTTTCTAATGACTTAGGAGGTTGGACATCTTTCAGGTACTTGTGCCTTTGAATATCTTCCCTGAAGAGAAATCTGCTCAAATCCTCTGCTCATTTCTTCATTGAGCTTTCTTTGTATTGTTGAATTTTAAGATTTCTTTTAATATTCTGGATACAAGTCTCTTCCCATATTATATAATGGTAATATTTTCTTGCATTCTGCAAGTTGGCTTTCCACTTAATTTTGGTATCCTTAGAATCACAGAAAAACTAAAATTTTACAAAATCCAATTTACCTTTTTTTTTTTGTTGTTTTTGTTTTTGATGTATTATCCAAGAGACTACTACCTAATAAAGGCCCTAAAACTTCATTTCTAAGGTTACTTCAAAGGGTTTTATTATATTAGCTCTGACGTGAAATATGACCCATTTTAAATTAAATTGCGTATGTGGTCAGAGGAAGCACACTTACAGCATTCTTTTGCATGCACACTTACAGTTGTACCAGTATCGTTTCTTGAAATGAGTATTCATTCTCTTAGTTCATTGCTTTGGGAGCCTCACCAAAACCACCTGACCATAAGTGAAGTTTATTGACTCAATTCTATTTCATCTGTGCATGTGTGTCTTATGGCACTAGTAACACTAGTTTGATTTCTGAAGCTTTTTAGTGAAGTTGTGGAATGGAGATGCGCAAGACCTTCAAACTTCTTGTTAGCTATTCTGCGTCCTTTGAATTCCCACACGAATTTTAGAATAGGATTAACAGTGTCAGAAAATGCCATCTTGAAGTTTTAAAAATGGAGTTCTTTGTATAATTTCCCTTTCATATTGTTTTCTATTCTTATTGTACAGAAATGCAATTTATTTCTGTACATTGATCTTGTACACAGCAACTTTATTGAACTTCCTTATTATTTCTGATAGATTTTCTGTGGCTTCCTGTAATTTATCTGTATTGTGCTTTCTATATATTATGACACTTGTAGTTAGAGACTTTTTCATTTATCCTTGTCCAATATAGATGTGTGAGTTCATTCTCATGCTTAACTGCCTTGTATAAAACTTGCTATTCAATTTTAAATATGAGTGCTAAGTTTTCTACCATTTAATACACTGTTAGTTGTGAGTTTTTCTAGACAGTTTTATCAGTTTGAGAAAGGTATTTCCTATTCCATGTTTGTTGACTTCTTTTATCAAGAAAATATGTTCGTTTTGCTAAGTGTTTTTCTGCAGTTATTTAGAAGACAATGTTATTTTTTGTTCTCTATTCTATTAATGCTAGATTAATAGAATAATGCTAGCCAACCTAGCATTGGTGCACTCTATTCTCTTAATTAATGCTTAATTCTCTATTCTATTAATGCTAGATTAATAAGAGTAATGCTAGCCAACCTAGCGTTGGTGCACTCACTTCAAAGTATTGTTCCTCCTGCTTTTTCTTTCTGACTTTTATATATTTAGATGTGTGTTGTTCAGTTCTCACACATTTGTGAATTTCCCAAATTTATTTCCATTTTTAATATTTGAGAACATATTTTGCATAATTTTAAATTTATCAAGGTTTGTGTTGCACCCTGGTCTGTGAGTCCTCCTGAAGAGAACTCCGAGCATCCTTGAGAGGCTCCCCGGTTCCCTGCGTACTGGTGCTTTTTAAGTCTGTATCTGTTAGACTGATTGACATCTTACTTAAGGCCACATAATTCCAGTAAATTTGAGTTAATTTCAATAGCATATAAAAACATTATTTTAATACAGTTTTTTTTCCTAAAGCCATCTTCATGCTATTAATTTTATACAAACTATTTACCTATACATTATAAATCCATAGCATATTTATATAATTATTGATTTGTGTAGTTGTCTTTTAAGGTAGGTGGAAAAGAATGTTTCAAACAAAATTTGTTTATAGTGTCATATTTATGTACCCATGTGCTTGCTTGCTCTCCTGCTCTGTGTTTGTGTGGAATCAAATCAATGCTTCCACGAAGAGCCCCAGTGTGATTAGTCTACCTTTGATTCTTAGAAAGTTCAGATACTAACCTGAAAATACTTTGTTTTTTCTACAGAACACACTTTGACTGTAAATTTCCTAAATTTAGCATCTTTTACAGTCTAGATAAGCAGAGAAATTTTCATATCATGAAATCCTGATGTCTGATGGTTTAGCAATTCATTTCTTCAGTCTCAGTCTCTCTGTGAATCTCTCTCTCTCTTGCTCTTGCTCTCACTCTTTTGTCCTATTTTACTGTTGGCAGCAAGAAAAAACAGACTGTTCCTTCAACACTTTTCATGGAAATCTCCTTTCCTAAATAAACAATTTCTTATTTACAAGCCCTGGTTCCAGGTAACTGTAAAATACATAATTTTATTCAGCTTTCTGCCACTGTCTACCAAGAAATCTTTTCTCATCTTTGAAAAATATATTATTTTTTTCCTTCTGAGTCCTCACCACCAATACCTCTACCAACAGTATGTCTGTGATAATTTAATTATATCCTAAGGTGATTCAGGTGATTCCCACCATGCTCCTCACTTCCTCAGAGCCCCCATAACAGCTGCTATGATGGTTACATTTCTACTTAAATCTTTTCAAGAAAGTCTGTTTGTTTGTTTGTTTTCTGTCATGGCTCTCAAAATGTTCCTCTTTCCCAAAGCCAGAGCTCCATTTCTGGATACCAAAATTTGGCGAGTTTCCATTGTTGCTGTAACAAACTACCAAAAGCTTAGTGATTTAAAACAACACAAGGTTGTTATCTTATGGTTCTGGTAGTCAGGAGTCTAGAATGGGCCTTACTGTGCTGAAATTAAGGCATCCCTCCATGCCTGTGTTCCCCTCACTGATTCCACCCCTGGGCTTTCCTTGCTCTCAGACACTGTCTGTATTCCTCAGTCATGATGGCATCACTGCCGCCTTTGCCTCCATCCTTCTGTGAGTCTAGCCTTCGTATTAGGATCGCTGTGTTTACGATGGACCCACAGATGCGGGGTATCTTCCCCATCTGACAGTCCTCAGTGACGTCATAAAGCCCCTTTGCCATTTAGGGCAACGTAAGTACAGGTTCCAGGAATTAGGGAGTGAGCACACTTGGGGGCCACAGTTCATTCCACCGGAACTCCAGGCAAAGAGCGGAAGTTCTGTGGGTGAGGCCTTGCCTTACTGTGGTTTCCAGCACGCCCCAGCTCTCACAGCTCGTGTGTTGGGAAGCTCTGGGGGGGGGGGGGGTTGGGTAAGGCACACAGGTCTGGGAGACACGCCGCAGCTCTCTTCCCACTGACCTCGAGCATTTGCCTGCACTCGTCTCCTCAGGTTGCTGCGAGCCTTAGTTAACACCCAGAGTTCTGAAAGGTTGGTTTTCATTGTTTTTGACAATGTTCCTATCCATATGTGAGAGTGGGTTTTCAGAAGTCCTCAACCTATCGTTCTGAAACATCTGTCTGATGATTACACTTAAATCTAGTTAGTAACTGGTCTACCAAAATGATCCCCCAGTTCAGCAGGCACTGCCTCGCCCCCTCTGACTTTAGGGGGACCATGGCACACGTTTGCTTCTACTTTGTGTGGCAAAACTCTGCTCTGCTGCTGTGGGAAGTGGCTGCTGAGTACAACAAGGCAGGGAGTGCAGAAACCTCCCCTGCTGCCATGTCTGTGGATGCTGATTCAGAGACTCCTGGAGAACAATGACAGTAAGTCAGTGACCAGACTCCCGAACTTCTGTAAGCGGACGGATTCAAGCTGACCTGTGCCTTCTGTACAAACACAAAAATGCTAAGATTAGTAACTTTTTACCAAATGTTTATTTCTCCCCGAATGATGAGATGGCACAGTTCCTGCAGGAATTTCTCTGAGCCTTTTTATTTATAGCATTTTTCTTTGTTAGTAGTTCATTCAGTGCTGCTGTGCTCTGACCCAAGGAATACGTTTGTGTAGCAAATTGCATGCAGTTGATTTTTGGCTTCACTAAATAAGCATGGAAATTGCTGCTGTGACACCACAGTTCATACACATTCTAAGCAGAATAATACATAGCATATTCATGCGGCTGTGAACAGCAGATTCATTTTGAATGGCTTAAATTTGTATCTGTGGCTATAAGAGAGATGGGAACACTGAGCACTTACGGATAATCATTGTGTTAGATAAAACGATGAGAAAGAACTTCTCATTTGACCACCAGTAGAATTCAAGCACAGAGTAAAAGCAACGTACATCTGGGGAGGTCTATATTGCACTGTCACCCGAGTTCTATCTTTTTTAACCTTTTTTTTAACCTTTCTAATATGCAGCAAACAGTGATGATTTGAAAAACTCCATCATTTACATGAAATAGTTCATGATATATGTTTTATATGTAACGAGCAAACAAAACAACTCATGACAAATTATACATTGTATGCATAACTAGCTAATCCAGTGTGGAGAATAATCTTATTCATGTTGAATATTTCTTAAAATGAAAACAAATGATAGCAGATGATACAGCTAAACAAACTAAACTGTAAGCCTGCAGAAATGACAGCAGTCCCCTCTTATCCCAGCAGAGCCAGTGTCACATGTCACTGAGGGTAGCAGACTGAAGACAGCAGGTGGAGGAAAATCCTCCTGCCTCCTCTCGCCCGTCCCTCTTTGGGGGAGTGCCTGAAGCCCAGTTGAGGGTCATCACCATGACCACTTGCACTTTTACTTCAGCCTCCTTCCTGCTTCCTTCCATCAGCTCTATTTTTCTCTGTAGTAGAGTTTGGCAGGCTTCTTTTGTAAAGGACAGAATAGTGAGTATGTTAGCTTTCAAGAGGCGGGTATACTGTCTCTCTTTGAGCTACTCAACTCTTGTCATTCTAGAGCACAGACAATATGCAAAGAAGTAAATGTGCATTGCAGTATTTTGGTAACACTTTACGCTCAAGAGTGGGTAAGGGCCAGATTTTGCCTATAGCCACAGTGTTTGTTTTGGCTCCTGTTCTGGGATTTGAACTGTCCACTATCTCAGGACACACCCTGTTTATCCATCTGTCTCTCCCCAGTGGAATAAAGATGCTCAATAAATAAGTGAGTATGTGAGGAATGAATAAAGGGCATACATGGAGCATTGAATGGTTTGTGCTAGTCTGTGTTCACCCTGTGTCCATTCAGTAATTTAAATTTACAGTCTTGGGCTGGGAATTTAGCTCAGCGGCACAGTGCCTGCCTGGCAAGTGCAAGGTCATGAGTTTGATTCCTGGTACCGGAAGAAAAACAAAAACAAACAAACAAACAAAATAAATTTACAGTCTTGAAGGCCTTGCCTAAGCTAACTAAAGCAAAGTGATTATTCTGCACCTAGACTCAGAGTTCAGATCTGCAGGCTTTAGGCCTCTGCACCACTCACTGGACAGAGGAGCCTGCAGGGCTGGAAGGGTCTCTGTGAAAAGTAAAGGTAAGAATCATCAACAGATCCTGAGTACTTAAAGCCGTGGGGTTGAAGGCAGCCAGTGTGGATCACAGGACCAGGACCAAGGCTGGGCTCCCAGCGTGGACTGCCTGGGACAAGAGGGAGAACAGACAGGAGACAGGGAGAGCATCAGAGGGGGAAGGAGCCTGGGGCAGGGGGCTGGCGTAGCTCATCAGAGCGTCAGCAGTGATACTCATTTCAGTGCTCTATATGCTTCAGTATGGTCATCATCAAATATCTTTTTAATTTGTCACATGCACACAGTAGACTTTCTAGTATATGTGCTGCTGGAGCGAGCACTACAGTGGACTTTTAAAATGGCAACTGCCTGAAATTTGAGACTCCTGACTACTCACATGACCCAATTTATTTGGTATATAGGGCAGAATGGGGTGTATGTTTCAGAGATGCTGAACGCAGAACCTCCCAGTGTGTCTCTGGCTAGTAAAAGGCAGTTTTATCTTCTGTTGGATTTTTGGGTAGACACAGACGTTTTCCTTGTTAAGTGAGAAAGAGAGTGACTGGAATTCTGCCTGACTTAAGTTGCACGAAAACAGCCTCTTTTTACTTTCTACTGTTTAAAAATATTTTTCTACTTTCAGCGTTCCTCTAAGCCTCACCCGACTTTTCACGTTGAATGGAGGCACTTTGTACAACGCTGAACAGGTATCCAGGGAGCGATAAGTTTATTAGAAGTAACAAATTCCAGTGTCGGTTAAACAATTCCACCGTTATTTTCAGGTGAATAGAATCTGAACAGCTTTTGACTTAATGTGCTAAACTGGCTGATGACCCATCCAGGGAAAGACTGTAGGAAGACACTGCCTCCTTCAGGGCTGTGTCTTGGGGCCCCCGAGCTCTTCCGCTGCCCAGGGGCCCGGCCCATGCAGATTTTGCCTTGGGGGCATCAGCTCCTGGGCTTCTCTCCTGCTCTGCTTTTGGCTTAAGCGCCATTTCCACAAGCTGTGCCCAAAGCAGAGCCTCGTCCTGCCTGGAGCAGGTGCCCTGCTGTGTAAGGCCCCATCCTACGCGTTTTCCCAGACTGAGTGGCGGTGACCAGGGACACCTTTTTATGTTGCATGTCTAGTTTTTGCTGTGGGCCTAGGCACAATGACTCCTGTACAAATATCTGCAGACAAAGGAATGAGCTGTCTACAGTGCTTCTAATCAAAGTGAAAAGTCTGGTGAGGCTTAGAGGAAAGTTGAAAGCTGCTTGCTAATACTTTTTTGTGTATTTCGTATTTTTGCTAAGCCTTTTTATAAAAAAGTAAATAACATTTTGAACCCCGGTGCTCACTATCTCAAAGACAGTACTCAAGCCCACAATACCTATGAAGTCAGAGTCAGTATGGGAATCTTACACAATGCATCGAGCTCTGGCACAGTCCCCCATGTCTCCTTTGGATGAGGCAGGATTTCACTCTGGTCTGCCCAGCCCCGTGAGCGTGAAAACATCTGCATATGCCACTGTCACCCTCAGGCAGCTTACCCTTGCCTCTCTGGCCATCCTGCTGCTTGGAATAACTTCCGGAAGATGTATCACCTCAGAAAGCAGAGCACTGCATTCTTCTCAAAATGCAGGCAGTCACCAGCTTATGATGGCTGAACGTTTGACTTTTCAACTTTACCACGGTGCAAAAGCTATACACATTTAGTACGAATCAAACAATTTGGGTCTTTTCCTTCTCTGTTGAAATGCAGTGTGACACGCTTGTGATGCTGGGCAGTGGTAGTGAGCTGTGGCTACATGATTGCTGGAGAGATAACTAACGCTCTTCAGTGTGCTATGGCTACGCTACGGTGTCCAGGAGGTTAGGTGTATTCAATGAGTTTTTGATCTGTGGAAGTTCGAACTTATAATGGATTTATCAGAATCTAACGTCATCATAAGCCAAAAGCATCTGTGTTCACTATCAAACCTTAAAATGTCATCATCAGAATGTTCAAACTTTCTGTAAACGGTGGTCCATGACACTCAGCCCGGGTGCTAAGCTTAGTCTTCTCAGGCCTCACGGGAGGGGGCCTCACCCGGAAGAGCCACGCGTCAGTGTTCTCCCTGGTGGAAGCTGCTGTGCCAGGCAGGAGGGAGCACTTCCAAGCGGAGTGCTAGAATTACAGACCAAGCGCTTAGAGCATGTGCAGCGTGCACACAAAATCTGCTGGAGAAAACCCAGGAGGGTCTACGTACGCCAAGGGAAGAGGTAAACAGGAAAAGCCTATTTGTACTTGTTAGGTGTTCCTCTCCTGATCCTGATGAAAGGGCCTCTCTCCAGGGTCAGAACCAGCTGCCTCATTCCATCTTAGCTGATCTCAGAGGCAACAGGAACTCACTCATCCGGACAGGAGATGAGTCACAGTCCTCTTCCAAGCCAGGCCCTGAGGGTATGAAGCATGAGAGGACAGGCTCAGGACAGTGAGAAAGATTGCATTTGTAGATAACAAGTGAAGCTGGACAAAGAAGGGGTGAGGGCAGTGGATGGTGCTGGAGAAAAGTTATCACTGAAAGCATTTGATTATGCAACTAAATTAGACCAAGCCTTTAGAACTGTCTCATTTCCCAGTAGATGGTCTACTGTTTGAAATAAGAAATCAAAATGTGGGTGATCTCACCAAAGACTCATGTTAATAATCTGTCCCACGCCACACAGGTGTGACCTCAAAGTCATTCCTGTTGCAGCTTTCCTGCCAAACACTCAGTCTGGGAGAGCCAGTGCACCAGAGTAATACGTACTTGTGGATTGACCCTGAAAATGGTGTTATCGCTGGACTTCGGCTCATACTGAGGTCCGCAATGGTGTCGGAAACACAACAGTTTGGACGGCTTTGGCTGTGGGACTCAGCATTCCGTCTGCCCTGTGTTGGCCGTAATCTTTGGCGTGGTCTTAATGAAAAGATCATGCAGAGTACACAGCACAGTTTCACCCTTCACATCTGCAATCACATTTCATACTTTTCTCTCTGCGCTTATGACCAGAGTTTGGGATCTCCCATTTCCCACTTCCAGATCGCTAGGTTTACTTGATCGCACCACTGTAACCCAACACAAGGGGCATTATGACATTCTCAGACTACTACATGTCCCACTTCGGCGACATGCAAGACATTGCTGCATATCAGTAATGCATGCCTGTTGCCTGTGTGAATGTCACTAACCTAAACCCTGGGCCTCCTCACGCTGCAGGGCTGCGACATGCAGATCTCTTATGACACCGCCTCTGCTCACCTCTTCTTCTATTCCCAACAATCACAAGAGTTTCTCTGACATTTCCTGATGGGTTAGCGCCTTGTTTACCTGAAAAACTAGCCATCAAGGACCTTCCAGCATTATAAATGGAAGCAAACAGCGGAAGATATTATCAAGGCAGCGCCACTGTGTATGGTAAGAAACCGTTCCTACCTAGGGAATATTTATGACCTCTGAGGTCCCCGTGTATGTGAGGTTATCATTAGTGTACCTCTTCTCCACCACACTTGCCTTCTGGCTCCAAGGTTCCTTTTTGCTGATGCCCATCCCTGGCTACACCATCTGCCCTGGAATACAATCTATTCCATCAGGAGTATCAAAATCCGTCTGTTGGTGTCACTTCTCTTTGCTGGAGACTAACGGGCCCAAACTAATCTGTGTTAATGCAACAGTAATGTTGGTTCAGAGCTTTTCTTGTGCCAGGTGTGATCAAACTGACTTAACATTCATTATCACCTAATCTTGGTCTCACACCCAAGGATCAGGCACTTTTAATATTATCCCTTACGCTGCAGTAAAAGAAGATGAGATGAGAGATTTGTTTGTTTCCCAAAGCAAGGGTAGATGAAGAGCTATTCCTTAAAGGAAAAAGAAGTGTAATATGGTGAGGACCAGATGGTAATCATCCAATTAATTATTCCATTATTAAAGTCATCATAAAACAGAAATGACAGTGGAGACTGTGAAGTCATAAAAGAAAACATAGATTTTACCACAGGAAAGGCAGGAGATTAGGTCATTCTGTCCTTGTGCAAAGAAACTTAACTTTTAAATTGCTACTTTTCACCAGGAGCTTTCAGTCCAGCACATACTACCCTCTCCGCCCCACCACCCCAGTCTAGAAACCAAGTGAGAAAGAAAGACCTTGTTTGGGTTTTTTCTTTTTAAACGTGATACAAGGCATATAAAAACACAATAGATACTTTTAATTTGTTTTGAACTTTTATTTCAAGGATCTGCTTTGCACAGTTTCTGAAATATATATTGGTGCAATTTTCTTTTTCAAAAGAATGGGAAACTTTAGAATAGGTGTACAAGGTCAGTTTCCTGTGCTGGTGGTAGGTTTGAATCTTCTGTGGGAAATATATTGTTTCATTCTGAGTTTATCATGTTAAGCCATATGGCAGGTATTTCATTGCTCTGGTGTAGATTTAGCAGGTAAATCACAGAACATCCTATAAGACAGTCTTATTTCTTCATGTTCTGCGTGGGAAAGGATCCCTGAAAAGATTCTTATTCCATGTCCCTGAACTTCCACCTGCAAAGCAATCAGCTATTCACAATCCATTTTCCCAGGAAAAGCTGTAATAAATCATGTCTCCTGGCATTAGAAAACCATCTCCTAAAGAACTTGCCTTTTATTTCATTTATTCTGAAGAGTACCAAAATCTGACCTGGGAAATTCTAGGAGTCTTCTGACTTACTGTCGAACAGGTAAAGGTCACGGAGGCCCAACATGGCCACCAGTGCTATCTTCCCTGTGCTTCCTGTCGTCTGCCTGTGACTTCCTGGGAGGAAACAGCCATGGCCACACAGTCTACAACAGTGGTTCCATAGGCATTCTCAATTTTCATTTTTTTAAAGTTTGTGACTATGTGTGGGAACCACAGATTAAAGATATTTCAAGAAATTTCGCTATTACAGGGTTATAATAATCCTCCATTACACATGGGACATCCATTCTAAAACCCCAACTAGATGGCTGAAAACGTGGATAGTACCAAACTACAGTATGTTCTCTATATGTACATAGCTATTGCAAATGTCCACTGTTTCGCATAAAGGAAGCACTTTATGACTTTTCCTTGATAGAGCACGCTCAGAATGCACACAGAATCCTTGGAAGAGCATGCTCAGGATGCATAAGAATTGCCAATGTCATCGATTTTGTACCTTGGGCTATTTTTAAGCAAAATAGCACTCACTTGCACAGAAGACTTCTGATACCACAGCAGTTGACCTGATAGTTAAGATGACACTGAGTGAGGAAGAGTGGGTCGGGTGCACATTCACACAAAGGGATGAACCATCTTCTCGATGAGCTGGTGCTGCAAGCGTTCATCACATGACTCAGAATCACACACAGGTCACAAATTTTTTCTGCAATTTTCTGTTTAATATGTTTAGGCAAAGCTTGATTCGACCTGAAACCCCAGAAAGCAAAGTCTCAGATAAGGGAGGACTACTATGCCCGCAGCATCTATGAAGGTCACACAGAGAGCATAACTGTAGCATTTTACAAATTGTTTTGCCACAGATCCCACTTTTTATAGAGAAATGGTTAGAATTACACTTGGAAAAGTCTTGGGCTAAGCCAGGCAAAGACAACCCATTCCCCGTTGATTCTCCCCAACATGTCATAGAGCACTCTGGGCAAAGAGTGATCGCCCACGAAGTCTTAGGGGAGCTCACAGCTAATGTGCTAGGCGTGGCTCCAAGCTCACCTTCTTCTCTCAGCTTTTCTTTGTAGCACAGGGATTCGTGACCATCACCACCTGTGCATGCTCCACACCAAGCTGTGCCTCTCGGAAGGGTGGTCCATACAAAGGGAATATCAAGGAGATGGTTGAAAAGGTGGATCATGTGGACAGTGGAGCACATTCTTGTCCACACACTCACTTTCTAGCATATGCGAATGTCTGTGCTATAGCTTTGCTTTTCCTGGTGGGATACCACCGGGAAAGAGGCCGCCACACATATCCCAATCCAGGTGTCTAATCAAGCCATCCTTGACACACCAGACACCCTGGAAGCTAGGCCATGCATGTAGCTCGCTCACCCAGAATGCACTGTGGGAGGCAACTGAGTTACCTTGCCCTATATTCAGCCTTGACGTTTCATTTTCTTCCGCCTCCGAGGACATTCACAATCATTTTTCTCAGTGTCCTTTTCCGCAGCAGGACTCCTTTATACAGAGAGACGGAAATGGTGAGGCTGTAAACCCTAATATTCTGTTTCAGAGCAATAGAGGGAAATACTTCACAATACGGTCATTTCAAGTGTAGACTGCGTGATGTCGGTGGGTCAGTGCACCACAACATGGAGGATTTGTCAAACATCAGAGCCACGAGGCTGTCCTATGTGCTGTCAAAGAACAGTGCTTTCTGCGCTGGCCAGAGCCTGGCCCTCCCGCAGGAAGTCTGTTGCGTGCCGCGTTGTGCCTGCCTCCAAATCCATACTTGAAAATCCTGATCTCGAGTGCTTCATAACATGACTGTTTGGAGGTACAGCCTTTAAAGAAGGGAGTAAGGTTAAACGAGGCCGTAGGTTTGGGCTGTAACCGAAAGGATTGGTGTCCTTGTAAGAGGAGAACATTAGGAGACAAGCAAACATGCAGGGAAGACCTCATGAAGACTGAGGAAGAGGACCACTTGCAAGTCAAGGGGAGAAGTCTCGGATGAAACGAGTACTGCCCATGTCTTGATCTCCGTCTTTTAGGCCCCAGAACTGTGAGGAAATGTTTTTCAGTCCTCTTAGGCTGGAGTTCTTTGTTATGGGAGCAGCGGAAAATTAGTACACAGTTCCTCCTTCGGGGTGCCTAGTGCAGTGACGCTGGGTGACCGCAGGTTTGAATTTTTAACCTTTGCTGTCTTCTATATACTTTTACATGTTAGGCGGGCGTGCTCACGTTTCATTTCACTTTCAGTTCCTATTCCTCGGAAAACTCAGAGAAAAGCAATGCATTCTGCATAGATGCATTTGCATGTGTTTGCTTTCCAAATAGTTATAAAATAGAACCAAAGAAAGCTTTAATTACAACCATATAAACCTTAGTTATGAAATCAGAAACCTTTCCCAGGGGCTGGGGAGGTAGCTCTGGTAGAGCACTTGCCTAGAACATGAAAGGCCCTGGGCTTGAGCATCAGCACTGGGAGAAAAACAAAGTCATGAGATTCCAGTTGGCTGGGTATAGAGCCACCACATACCTGGCTCTGATAGGCTGAGGCAGGAAGATCACAAATTTGGCCTAGCCTGGATGACTTAGCATTTTAGTGAAACGCTGGTCAAAATTTTCAAAAGGGGCTGGAGATCAGTTCAGTTGCAAGTAAACTAACTTAAAAATTGCAGAAGAATGTAAACTGCCAGAGAATTTAAACTCAACGGTCTTTCCCTCTTTCTTACCTTTGTTACCAGCTAGGCCCTTTGGGGAAGGACTGAGTGAGTGCCACCCGTCCTGCACCATCACCTGATGGGGGAGGCATTTAGGTTATGGGGAGATGGGACTGTGGGAACCCACTTTCCACAGCTTTTACTAAACTCACAATCATTAATCAACTGATTAAGATTCTGCCACTAAGCTACCAGATTCTGAAGGGGGATTTATTTTCTTGCCTGGAAAGTATAAATACCTCAAATGATGAATACGTTCTTGCTGAGAAAGGCAATCTGAATCTTCAGGGAGTCACAGTCGTTTTGTGGGAGGAGGTCTTTCCTGCATGTTGATGACTGTGAACATTAGGGTGGCTGTGGCAGTGTCTTAAACTAAGATAGTGAAGTCTGCCACATCAGTGGACTCTTTATGAAACATTTCTGTGTAGCACTGATACTGTCTGATAGCATCTCACCTACAGTAGAACTCCTTTCAAATTTGGAGTCCATCCTCTCAAACTGTGCCTCTGCCTCATCAACTAAGCAGTTAATCAACTAATCAACATGTGTGTAATATTCTAAATCCTTTGTTGTTATCTCAGCAGTATCTGTAGCATCTTCACTAGGGTTAGATTCCATCTCAAGAAACCACTTTCTTTTTTTTTTGTTTTTTTTGGTTTTTTTTTTTTTGGTTTTTCTCCGGTACCGGCAACCGAACTCACGACCTTGCGCTTGCCAGGCAGGCGCTTTTGCCGCTGAGCTAAATCCCCAGCCCCAAGAAACCACTTTCTGAAGCGACTTCTTGCCCATTGGTTGCAGCATGAGGTTGCACAGCTGAGTCACGTCTTCAGGCTCCACTTTTAACTCTCGCTCTCATTTTATTTCCACCGTGTCTGTAGTCGGGTCCTCTGATGAATTCTTGAATCTTTCAAAGTCATCATGAGGGTTTGAATCAACTTCTGATCTGTTAATATTGATCTTTTGACCTTCTCTTATGAGTCACAAATGCTTTTGATGACATCTAGATTGTCTTTGCCAGGATCTATGAGAGGAATCACTGTCTATGGCAGCTGTAATATTATGAGATGGATTTCTTAAATATAGTTTAATAGAAACTTGAAATTGGAATAAGTCCTCAGTCAGTGGGCTACAGAACGGACGTCATCTTAGCAGGCATGAGAACAACACCGATATCATACATCTCCATCGGAGCTTTTGCATGACCAGACGCATCATCAGAGGGCAGTAATATGTCCAAATGAGTCTTCTTCTGAGCACGTCTCAACAGTGGGCTGAAGATGTTCACTAAACTGTACTGTGAACACGTGTGTTGTAATCTGGGCTTTATTCCACTTTTAGAGAGCAGGCAGAGTAGATTTAGCATAATTATTGAGGTGCCTAAAATTTCTTGGAATGCTAAGTGAGCATGGGCATCAGCCTGAGATTATTTTACTCATCTCTAAGAAGAGAGTCAAGTCTGTTCTTCGAAACTTTGAAGCCAAGCATTGATTCTTCCTCACCATCTGTGAGCCTTGGAGGCCATCTTCTTCCAGTATGAGGTTTCCTCAGTTATCTTAGTGGAATCTCCTGGGAATAATTTATAGCAGCTTCTGCATCAGCACTTGCTTCTTCACCCTGCACTTCAGTGCTATAGAGATGGCTTCTTTCCGCGAATCTCATGAAACAACCTCTGCTAGCTTCAAACTTTCCTTCCAAGCTTCCTTGCCCCTGTAGAACTGAAGTAATTTGAGATCTTACTCTGGATTAGGGTTCGGCTTGAACAAATGTTGTGGATGGTTCAATCTTCTATTTAGACCACTCAGCATTTTCCATATCTGTTTATGTTTGTTTTTCTTACCATCATTCTTATCATTTGCATATTCACTAACATAGAGCTTTTAATTGACTTTGAAACTTTTCCTTTGCATTTATAAGACTGCATGGTGCAAGAATCTTGGCTTTCAGGCTGTCTTGTCTTTCAACATGCCTTCCTCACTAAGCATAATTAAGTCTAAATGTTGACTTAACGCAAGAAATTGTGGCTCTTCCTTTCACCTGGACACTTAGACATCATTAACTGGCCTATTTTTAATATTGCAATGTCTCATGGATAGGGAGGTCCGGGGAGGAAGAGGGAGGGTGATGTAGCTGCTCGGTGGATTAGTCAGACGCACACATTTATCAGCTGAGCTCACACGCTTATCTCAGAATGATTCCTGGCTCACAAAACAATATCAGTAGTAACCTCGGGTCATTAATCACAGATCACTGTAACAGATATAATAATAATGAAAACGTTTGAACTATCACAAGAATTACCAAAATGTGGCACAGAGACATAAAATAAGACCTGCTCCATTCAGATTTGCCGCACCCTTCAGTTTTTACAGAAATAAAGATAGCACCCCAAAACTCAGTATCTTCCAGGTGCAGTAGGTGAGGTACGATTAAATGAGACATGCTGTACTGCTATCCTCTTATCCTAAAAAGTAGTTAAGTTTAGTTTTGTTAAGTGATATGATCAAGACTCAGAACAGACATGCTGCCGAGTCACAAGTTAACTGAAAGACAAAGCCAGCGCCCCGATACCTCTGATACTGGGCCTTGGGACACAGCGGAGGTTTGTGGCACCGTGCACCATCTGATGTGCTGGGGGGAAGCCCCCAGGAGAGGCAGCTGTCAGCGGTTGTTTATGGTTGTTCATGGCAGCAGTTCTCATCTATGACATCCTCCTCTGAAAGCACATCCTCTTGTGGAAGTTCCTTCCCACAACTCTGCACATTTTGTTGGTAGCTTGAAAGCAGTTGTGTGACACAGATGGTTCTGGGATTAGCACTGGGGTGTGGTCAGTGGCAGCTCCCGAGGAGAATGCATCTGTCTTCTAACTGCTCCTGCAAATGCCGGGCATGCTGTTCACACGCCCCTGCTCCCAGTCCTCCAGGCCCACTTTCCCTCTGACAGTGGTACTGAATTTTCTCTCAGGGGCTGCAGGAGCCCATCACCCGCCCTGCACCTACAAGGAGCACAGTGACAGTGAGTACATGTCCTCCACGGGCAACCCTGCCTGTGAACTGACTGACGCGGAAGCATCAGTCCTCCAGCTCAGGCCTCACAATTCCATGTGGTCCACGCTATTTCTAAAAGTCTTACTGGACTGAGTTAACGTAGCTTTCAAAAACACTGTGCTTGGAATCGCACCCATAATTTACCCCTCGCTAGTGAGCCTTCCTCTTCATTTCCGCTCCCTGGTGGTTTTCCCAGAGTCACTTCCTAAAATACTCACTTCTGCTTCAGTACTTGCTTCAGGGTCTGCTTGCTGCTGATGAAGCTGACAGGTTCATCTTATTGGATTACACACAGACACACACACACACACACACACACACACGCACGCACAAACATGCACACACACGGCATTGTAGATGGGATGATACTGAATTTATAGATCATGTTGGTGTGAACCGATGCCTTCTGTTAGGTTCTCCCAGGACCAGACTTTTAAGACACATGCATGTACTCTGTTGTGCTTGGGACACGAAAGAAATAATGGCCTAGCAATGCTGCTAGAAAAGGGAGGAGGGAGACAGAGAAAGGGAGGCAACCAAGAACGGGTGCATAGCTAAGCAGTAGTAAGAAAACTCGGGGAATAGCCTAATTCTTGTGCCTCTATGTTCTCCTACTGTACCTCTGCAGGAGCAACTCCACAGTTGCCCTGGCTGCAATAACCCTTTAAGTAAGGAATCTGGCCACCCCACAGATAAGCAAAGCAGAGTGTAAGGTCCAAAGAAATCAGCGGTGACAGGGGATTAGGCTGTACATCGTGAAGTGTCAGGGTGGAGTGGGACACCCAAGGGCCACAGTCATCAGTATCCGCACAAAATGACTTTCCCATCTGTGAACGTAAAACACAACGGAGGAAATATTTAAATTCTCTCAATGAGTTTCACTGAATAGCTTTCATTAAGTTAGTAGCAAAACTTTAAACTTTTAATGATCTAAAACATGATATCTTTCAAGGTTTTCTCATAATAGTTGACTGTCACATGCAACAGTTGTTTATGTACATAAGAAACCATTACTGTTACAAAAACCAGTAGTTTTTCCTTCATAGAGATATTTATTATTTATTTATTGTCAGTTTTACTTCCATTTCCATAGCTTAATTCTATCTTAGAATTTTAAATAACTGGACCTTTAAATGTAACTATATTAAACTTGGCTTTTTTGCCATCAGCATATTGTTTTTGAAGTTGTAATCCATTCTGTTTCTATTGCTGAGTGGTGCTCTGGAGCCTGGATGTAGCCCAGTTTGTTGACCACTCGGAGCTGGGTTATCTCTAGCTTTGCATCTGAGGACTAAAACCAAAGTGAGATGCATGATTCTTTGCATGAGCACTGTTACGCTTTGGTAAACACCTGGGAGGGAGATTATTTGGTTTTACATACTTAGTTTTATAAGAAATTCCCCAACAGTTTTGCAGGGTGACACTATTTTGCATTCCCACCAGGACAGTGTGAAAGTTCCAATTTTCCACTTAGCATTGTTAGCTGTTTAATTAGAGCCATTCAAGTAGACAGGTGATGGTTTCCCTTCTCAATTTTCACCAGTGTCTGTCAAGCAGAAGTTATTAAGTTGTATTAATTTGTCAGGTTTTTCCTTGATGATTAGTGGTTTATGTATTCTGTATTATGTATGTATTCCTGTCTCAAAGGAGAAAAAATTGCATCCTCATTTATTTATTTAAGATTTAAATCTATAGCTTTTACATGCAAATCTACATTAAATTATATTAAACAATTTAAAGTTAAATTTTGGATATTGTTTGAGGTAAGAACTACAGCTATTATTTGTTAAAAAGATTATTCATTCCACCGCTGACTTATCTTGGCCCCTCTCTGGCACCTCAAAAAATACTTTTAAAAAATGAAAATAAGCTGCACAGAGCAAGAGCCAATGTTTACAAACCATATAATCTGGCAAAAGACTGATATCTAGAATACACTTTAAAACAGTTTAAAGCACTAAGATTGGAATAGATATTTCAGGAAAAATGGCATATAAATGGTTGATAAATACATGAAAAGATGCTTAACACCAATACACAAAACATAGATAAGAAACACTAATTCTTTTTATTTCTTACATAAAAGAAATGACCTGACACACACACAGAAAATAGCAGCGTATTGAAATAAAAATACATAGCAGACAATAGAAAGAGATCACAGGGAATTTAAACAGTGGCATTATGAGAAAATTACCTTTATTTTTAGATACATGGATAAATTTTTATCAGTTATCTTTAATATGTTTTAACTTTGTTAAGAAACTAAATCACAAAAATGCTAGAGCTAATAAAATATAAAATCAAAATTAAGAATTCAGTGGAAAAGTTTGATAGCAATGCTATGGCTTATGTCCTCCCAAAGCCTCATGAGGTCATAGGTGGTGCTTTTCAGAGGTGGCTGCATGCAGAGTGTGTGATGCTGTGATAAAATGTGTGATGCTGAGATCAAGGATGTGTGCTTACTAAATTAGTCCATTGGTTGGTTTGGCATAATTCTTGGTAGGATTAAGGGTGCCCCACCCTGGGTGTGAGTGATACTTGCCTTAAGAGCATGTAGCCTGGATAGAATAGATAGGACAGAAAGAGGACTAGTGTTGGCGTTTGCTGCTGCTGCTGCTGCTGCTGCTGCTGCTGCTGCTGCTGCTTCACTGCTTGCTACCTTCTGCCCGCCATGGAATATTTCCCCTCTGCCATGTGCCACTCTGTCATGGAGCCAACTGATTATGGACTGAAACCCCTACAAACTGTGAACTAAATAAACCTTTCCTCCTTTAACTTTAGGTGTTGGGTATTTTGTCTCAGCAACAAAGAGAGTAACTAAGACAGGCAGATTGTACACAGTTGAGTAAAATAACACTGAAGTGGACCATAGCTTGTAAGAAAAGATACCCAGAATTAATCACTTAGAGCCAACGGTAGAACAAGCAGTGGAAGAATCAATCAGCCAAGTGTTTTGAGTCTGAAAGGGAAAGCAGAGTAATGGGCCAGAGCCAAAATCTGAAGTAGCGATGGCTGAGGATTTTCCAAAACTGAAGCAGTTTATGAAGCTACAGATCAAACAATCTATGTGAGCAACCAGTGAAACTGGTGTATAAATATAAAAGTCACACATAGACAGATCATAACATCCCTCCTGAAAACAAAGGAAGAAACCTTTCAAAGAGGAACTCTTGAAAGCAATTAGAGAAAATGATAGCTTCTTTTAGAGCAGAGGCTAGACTGACAGCTGACTTCTTGAAAGAAAATGAAAGCGCAATGCAACCGTAAAACCTTCAAGGTGATAAAAGTTTCTGAAAATGTAGGTATTTATTTATTTATTTATTTTACAGTACTGTGGGGTTGAGCCCTGGGCCTTTGTACTGGGCTATGTAACAGCCTTTTAAAATTTTTTTTTAATTTTTGAGCAAGATCCTGCTAAGTGCCCAGATAGGGCTTAAATTTGTAATCTTTCTGCCTCAGCCTCCTGTGGTTCTGGATTATGGCATATACCACCATGCCTGGCAGAAATCTAGAATTTGATAGCAAGCAAATGGTGCTAAAAAAAAAGTAAAAAATTTCCAGGAAAATAATAACCCAGAAAATGTATTATCTGCATACCTGAACAAAAATATTTTGAGCTCAGCAGAAAGAAATTATCCTAGAAAGAAGCATTAAAATGTAATAAAGTATAAAGATCATGCAAAAGTTACTATGTTGGGAAATGTAATTAATATTGACTGTATAAATCAATAATAATGCACTTTGTAAATTTGAGTAAAGAATTACAATGCATGAATATGATACTATATGCTACTATATGAAATAAGATACTGTATAAAACAAGAGTAAATGAGGTTAAAGTGGTCCTGAAGTCTTTTTATGATCCACAAATACTATTGTTATCCCAAAATAATGACAGCACACTGAGTATCACCAATTCTTGACAAACCAGTGTAGTTTATTGGTAATTCATAAAAAAAACCTTCTAAAGTAATAAAATAAATTTTATAATTTTCAAGTTAATAAAAGGGAGAAGTACATTAGTGAAATATAATTCATTTAAAAGAGTGTAAAATTCAAGCCCAGCCTGAGTAACTCAGTGACTTAGCAAGACCTGGTCTCAAAATAAAAGTTGGGTTGGGGTTGCAGCTCAATGCAAAGGCCTTGGGCTCAACCCACGGTACTGAATTTTTAGAATGGTTTTTGCTCCTAGGTGGAAATATGATTTACTTTTGGATCTTGGTCTTATATCCTAAATCGCTGCACTTCTTACTTTCCACAGCACTCCCCCATGGATGCTTTAGGATCTTTTATAAACAAGGTCATGTGTCTTTGCATACAGCTAATTTAAACCTTTCCCATCTGGGTGTCATCTATTTCATTTTATTACCTAATTGAGTGGCTACACCTGCCCATAAAATATTAAATAGGATTGATAAGCGTGGTCATCCTTGCCTTGTTACTGACATTAGGGGAATGACATTCAATCTATAAGAAAATTCCTTCTTTTGCTTTTTTATTAAGTGTTTCCTATGAAACACAAACTTTTTGAAAATCTTTTTCGGCCCCTGTTGAAAGGACCCTGTGTTTCTTGTTCTTTAGCCTCTCAGTAAGTGCAGCACATTCATTGATGTTAGGGTGTCAGCGACCCATCGGTAAACGATGTCACACACACGGAGTGCCTTAGTGAGTATCAGTAGCTCGGAGCCAGGAACTCGTTTCTCTGCTGTGATGTGGATGTCGTCTGCTCAGGCTGACACCTGAGTCAGCCAGCTGTGCTCTCATTTGGAAGTGGGGGTCCTGCAGACTGAGTCTTACAGGCAGAATCCAGCTTCTTTTGCTTTTAAAA